TCATTGAGTTCAACCATCAACCTAACACGGCCAAGTCCACCACTAAACAATGTCCTTAAGTGCCACATCTACATGTCTCTGAAATACCTCCAGGGATGGGGACTCAACGACTTCCCTGGGCAGCCAGTTCGCTTTTGGGCTACCATCCGCTTGTGTGCACACTCTCAGCCTGGGAGACAACAGGTTGGTGGAATATCTTTTTTTAATGAGTCTGTAATAAGAAGAGGCCAGAAATAATCCCGTGCATGGCTTCCTACAGATGAGCTTTAGCACTTGTAGAAGTTGTGGCAAATGGATTTGCTCCGGGTTTGGATAGACATGGGCAGATTTATAGAATGAGAGGTGAGACATAATGCAGACTCCTTTTACTTTGGAAGAAAGATGGAAATTCCAGCCTGCAGACAAAGCAAGCACGATGGTGACTCACACTTCAACCTTCTTGAGAATAACGGGACTCAGCACGATCAAAGGAACTCAAGCTGCTCGGCTGGTTGGAGACTGTGGGATGCCCATAATTAGAGAGATACTGGCTTTGGTATAGAGCAGATTGGGCACTCCCTGTCGTCGTTTGTCATCTCCTGCCTCCTCACCACTTGTTCCCACCTTCCAGAGGGGGTTCCAGTTGTTTGGACCAGCTGCAGTGATCCAGTTTGCAGTGGGTCCATACAGAGAATGGTGCTGGTGTCGGCAGGGAAAGGGCAGCGCCAGGCAGAAACGAGGGCTCCGGGGGGGACAGCCCCAAACAGGCTGTTAGAGCTTCCACCCGAGACGCAGTCATGTGTTAGATAATTAACAAGTGTACATAAAACAGGCTCTTATGAAAGTACTTAATGCCCTAACTATCCCCTTTTACCTCTTGGGCTGAACTTCTCATTTAGCTTGCAAGACAAGCTCAAGTCGAAACCTGTAAGATAATTTTTACCATTTGGATGCCTAATTTCAGAAAAACATGCAATTATCACCAGCACCGACGAATGGAAAACAAGCACGTAATATGCATCTAATGCCACGTAAGCGTTTGAATAGAAAACAAACAAAACTACCCAATATCTAAAAAGTGAAAAATTACAGGAAAAATTGCACAGGAAATGTTGATTTGAGATTCTAGCAGCATGTATTTAATGCACTGAAAGGCATCTGAGAGGCTCTGCACTCTGTCAGGGCCGCCACACTGCTGGAAATTCACCAAAATAGCTATTCTGAAGTAATGATTATAATGATAATCCACAATTAAAATGCTTTCTAATGGGACTTGCAATAAAAACGTAATTGGCGATTATGGAAGGCCAACATGACGTTGCTTTGGGCAGACAGCAATTTTCGTAGCCCAGGCTACGAATCAAAACAGGAGGTTCAGACAGAGGCAGAAATACAATTTTTGAATCAAAACAGGAGGTTCAGACAGAGGCAGACAGACACCAGCTTTAGGGTAAGAACAGCCAAGAAGCGTCATTACAATGTTATAGCTATTATGGAAATTACGCACAAGAGTTAACTCCATTCAATTTTCGAGCACAGGAGCTGATGAAATTTAGAGGGTCAGCCTAAAGGGTCTGACCTTTACCTACGTCAGGTAAAACAACAGGATATTTTTAAAGGAGGCTGGAAACATGGACAGTAACATTCCTAAATTCCATCTAATATATGTAAGAAACCCCATGCCACCCCTGCCGTAATCTAGAAGCACAAAACTCAGAAAGAGATTAGGCTTCAATGCAAAAATATTGCAAAAAAATAATGCAAAAACAACATAAAAGTGGGTGCATTAAAATGAAAGAATATTCCAAAATGATTTTTTTTTTAAAGCTAACGTTGCACCTTATTACCTAGCAATGCCAGAATGCTGTATCTGATGGCAAATTAAAAAAAACCACCTCCAATTAACTACATTACGCCACAATATCTGAGTTTATATCACACAGAAACGCAGAATATACTATCTTCTTCTTTAAATAAGCCACCCCTACGCTGTCGGAGCAGCTCAGGGCACATTATTCTGTTCACGTTAGGGGAGCTGAATCACTGCTCCAGCCCGGAGGAGGCACCGACTCTTTCCAGACGCGTTCCCCAGTTAATATAATATCAGCACTGACAGGAGCAGATTGTTGTACCAGCTGCCGAGCTACATTTAGATAATAAATGTGTTTAACTACACCGTGAAGAAACAAAACGGTGTCACATCTACCCAAGGCCTGCTCGTTCAAGCATGGATAAAAGGCACCTTTTCCATCTACCCACTCAGAGGGCACCCTGCGACCGCAGCATCTAACCACCTTAATGGCCAGGCTGAACTCCATTCCTTAATGAAATCAGGGCATATAATTTTAAATTACCCTGGAAGCAGAGCTCTGCTTTCACCTCCGTAACCAACCGGATCTGCCTAACGATGCAGATGCATCGTGTGAGCTGCACCAATTTCTTCTCGAGGTGGTACCCTGAGGACACAGCGTGTCCGATGAGCTCTGGAAGGGTCTCTCACTGGCCTGGGTTACCCACAGAGTATTCCATGTCTGGGCTATAAACTGGTTTTTTGTACATTTCCTGCTTTAAGGCCATTTGTTCAAGGGAGGGTATGGTTTTGTGCTATGAACCGAAGTGTTGCTCTCACCCAGGCTGAAATAAATGCAAAAGTTTTATCCCAGTGTAGACTGAACCCCCCAAGAAGCAACAATAAATGTACGTGGCAAACACAAAACGCACAGGGCAGTTTTTTGTAGATGGTAGAAAGGGAAAGCACCTGAGAAAGCATTCCCTTCTGGAGATCCCAGAGTCCCTCCAAGAATCATAATCAAAAAACCACAAGGTGTTATGGAGTTTGCCTCGTCCAACCTGCCTCATCCGTGGCCCAGAGTCCATGGAGAGGACTGGTGGCACTCTTCAGAGGAATTTCTCCTGCCAGATATCCTGGGGCCTAAACCAAAAAAAGCAACTTTCTATTTCTAAAGGAAACACACAACACCTACCCCAGGGGGTTCCCACACCAATAGATGTCTATCACAAGGCACATCCCAGTCCTTCAAAGACAGCCCAAGTCAACTGTGAGCTCTGAGGACTGGTAGTGCCTTCTACATCTCCTGGTGGTACTCAGGTATTGATGGGGGAAGAAAGGAGCAGTGACACTGATGGGCAGACCTGTGCCTTAAGTTACAGATTTAGCATCGCTCCAACTACAGGTTTCCTACTAAAGAATGTGCATTTAAAAGAAAAAAACAGAAAACACTTTAAAGTAGAAGCTAAGGAGAAAAGACTTAAAGTGTGAACAGTCAAAAAATATTTCTCCTTATCCATCTTACCATTTTTCAAAAGGCAATATTGGACTTCCTGTGTCCCTAATGCAAATGAATGTAAAAATAAATAAATAAGTAGAATAACACACATATTTCATGGATGAAGGTGCTAACAGGAAGTGCTAGTACGGCTTGTAAGAGCTGCCACCGTGCTGGCCTGGCAGACTTTTCCTCTAAAATCTCTTCCTAGAACATATGGGATGTTCCTCAGTGATAAGTTTTAAGCTATCAAAAAAAATAATAAAATAGGACTTCAATCTAAAATGTTGCTTTCATTTGCAGATTTTGTACAGAATGCACAATTTATGCCAATAATTAGCATTTTAAAAGGCTGTGCAATAATGTCTGCTTTTTCTTGAGGATATGAGCGAGATTTACTGAGGCACAAAAACTCTCATTTCCCTTTTAGACAAAAGATTGCACATAATTGGCTGTCAATTAAATCAGGACTTCTTATGGAACAAACACCTACGTGCTGTGTCCTGAGCTGAAGTTAATCCACCCATACAGGCCCTGTGGGCATGTTTGATGGAAAATGGGGTAGGGAGAAAGAAAAAGAGGAAAACCTTAATGATTCCAGGGAGGAAGTCTTATTTCTCATCTCTGTTCTTAAGGCAGAGAGATCATAATCGTTTTGGTTGGAAGAGACCTTTAAGATCACCAAGTCCAACCTGTATTTAGGGTATTTGCATTGTCAGTGTAATTGCATCCTACAAAAATTTAAGTTTTAGCTTTTATTTTGGTGACTCGCTTCAGGTTTTTATCAAGGGCTATGGATTGTTTTTCTTTGGTTTTGATTCCTTGCTCTTAAACAACAGGGATAAAAGAGCAGCAAAGCACCCCAACAAGGGGAGTACCAGGTTGGTTACTTTGAGATGACAAATGACACGGTGGTGAAATCAAGAGGTCTACTCGATCGCACCAGAGGACACTGGAGTGGGACAACGAGCTGAACGGACACAAGAGCCTGCTGACATGATGGTACACACCACAGCGACGACAGATACACCCTGACCTACGCTGCTATTCTGGATTTAAAGAGGTTTGCAAAGCTCTTACCACAAAATCAGTAATCCCAGCTCTGCACACAGTCACAACAGTCACCATGTATGTCACTGTTTCGGTCAACTTTGAAGGAACGTGAAGCTATTTGGGACAAACATACTAAACCATATGTGCAAGACTGATCTGCAATTAACACTTTTTTACCCTCTTCTTTCTGCTAATGAAGCAGTCCTTAACACCTCTTCGCCCCCCTCAGTGCTGTCTTCACCAGTTTACAATTTCTTCTGATATTCAAAACTCTTCCCAGGTACAAAATTCTTAATAGCTCCGGAGTTTCTCTTCCCATCCACCAGCCTTTGAAATTAGCTCAGATGTTAAATCAAAACCCCATTTGTCTTGACAGAAGACACCCAATGAAAAGACCCGGTAAACTTTCAACCACAGCTGCTAGAAATTCACGGGCCAGTCCCCTAAAAGTCACAAACGTTGATCATGAAAACAGAATGTATCTTTGATCTCCTCGCTCCTGCAGCTGCTCTCACCAAGTCCATAATCCAAATTAACATAGAAAGCAGCATACCCACAATATAAAGACTAATGATTCAGGAGGAGGAGAAGGAAAGAAGAAAAGATACAGCTTAAAGCAAAGAGTCTACTGTTATTTATAACATCAGCCTTATATTCAGGCAAATATTAGGAAGCACTCACATAGCTGTATTTTTGATGATCCTTCCTTGGTCCATTTTCTGCCCGATACCATGCACAACAAACACAATGTGACTAGTTTGTGGTGGCTTGTCTTCTAACGTGGCTTCTTCTACATAGCCTCTATGTAGCCTTGTCCCACTACTTGAAGCTGTAGAAAAAACATGATCCTAGATCAGTTACATTCGACCAAGTGCAATGGTCTTACACGTTGACAGAAGCTTGACTTGTCTCAGACCAATACATTATTCTGAAAATGAGACTATACATTAAAGGAACAGCATGTGCTTTTAAATATCTGCAATTTTAAACTCCCGAGAGGTTTGAGCAACTGGGTGATATTGTGTCTGTCAGTGTATTAATAGGCCATTTCCACTGTAAAGATAACTAATTTCAGAGATGTTTTGGAAAACAACTTTTTAGACAACGGCTGTGTAATTGTCCATTGACTTGTACAACACAACACCCTTCTTCTATGTGTCTCAATCAATAAACTCCCCCCTTACATCCCCACCTTACTTCCACTGCGTGGAGGGATCATGGAAATGATCCAGCCATCAAAAATGGTTTAAGTGTTGTCATTCTTTCTCTGACCCAGTTGAAAAGCTTTACATTTTTTTTCATTTTGACATGGAAAACCTACGCTCTACTTCAAGATGATCTAACCTCAAATTTCCCCACGCGTTCAGTGACCAAACCTCCCCCTGCCCCACCCCC